TGCTGGGACTAGGGGTATATGAGTGGGGCTACATAAGCTACTTTTGCCCATTGTAGTAATGTCCTAGGAACAATCGCACCTGCATCGCTAGTGTTATAACGGTGGCAACTGACGTGTGTTACCGTCGAATTACGCCCGTTAAAATCCCCAAGGAAGAACACAATAAGAAGGACGTAACTTTGGAATCCACCCGGAGGAGGGTTTATTGTGTACAGAACCCGGAGTTGCTGTCTCGGGTGATAGCTGCCGCTGGTTGATCTCCAGCGTACTCTTTGTCCCGGCCTCGGGAGCGGACTGACGGTGTCCTCGGAGTCCGTGTTGCAGACTCCACTGTCTGAGAGGTGACAGTGGCTTATAAGGGATTGTCTGCGCATTCTCTTGTGGCCTGATTGGCCGCATTGGGATAGGTCACGCGACGAGTTGACCCCCGGGGAACTGCGACCACTTGGGCACGCGTGTGCGTCCGTATCTCCGGTGCAGCCTTTAAGGTTATCGTGTGTATGCGATCAGAGCGAACACACAAAAACATTTGGCGGGCACGGCGCCTCAGGAAAGCCTCCAATGTTGCTAGCATTTGGCCAGGTTAAACTCCTAACAAATCCTACCTTGGGTCCCAGATCAGCACGCGAAAGCCCCATCATTACGTAATACAGGACCGGGCGGGCTAAAGAGTCTACCGTCTGGGCAATATAAAGGAAGGGAAATATAAACAAAAATAAAGTTATTAAAAGTAGAAAAAACAGGAATAATTGTTTGAATAATCTTCTGTTTGTCAACAAAAAAGGTCGCCATAATTAAGGTGTGGAATTATGCAAATATTAGGAAATAAATAAATTAAAAATTAACTAACCAAAACTAAAATCAACTAACTAAAAAACGTAAAGTAAAGTAAGCTTAAATGACTTGACTCAAAAACTAATCTAAAACTAAAATAAAAATAGTAAATATAATAATGAACTGAAAACTTAAATTACATATAAATAAGTTAAATAGACGAAATAAAATAAAGAAGCGCAAAGTTGTTGCGCATGTTAATTGAAGGTGTGCGTGGCGCCTTCTGCCGCAAACTATACTTATCTAACTCCAGAACGGCAAGTTGGACCTCAGGTAAGTCGAAGTAGACGATCTCCTAAACACCAGAAATATCAAGAAGCCCAATAAACCATAAAGTATAAGTTAAAAAATGTTCAAATTTGTCACCCAATAAACCAAAAGTAAGGCGCGTAAGTAAATTTCTGTGTTAATTTATGGCGCGCCATTTTGTTGCAAACAACTTCTGGGACCCAAAGTAGGATTCCCCCCAGGCGGTTTCTGGCATATGGAATCTAGTTTTCATCCTGCCTTGTTTAATTTCTGGGTAAATCGATCTGCGAAATTGGAGTAAATCCCTCGGAACAAACCCTTTATTCAGTCTTGGTCCGAAATTGATATTAATAGTTAAACGGAAATCCATCAGTTAAATGCAACATAACCGTGTAATATTTACAAGCTGCCAAGAGCAGTATATACTACAAAGATTTGAATGTTCATTTCTGGAATACTTGCTCTATTTAAACCCGAAATTTGGATGAGGTAGGTCTGTGATTTAAATCTGGACACATATGACAACTAGGCCGGCGCCGGCCATGGAGTTAGGTGATTAAACCCATTGGGGATGCAATCATAGTCGCGTGAGATCGACGTTTGCCGATCTCTCCTAATTGTGGGGCGGAATGCAATCATTCTGTCCTGTAGTAAGGGGCAGATCGATTAATGATACAACGTCACCTCATGTCGGTTTTGCCTATCTTCCCTTGTCGGCATTATTTCCTGCTTTTTAGGGGGCTTTTTATATTATCGTACTAAAATGTAGCTTATGTATTAATGCATAATTAAACCTGCCTTGTCAATCTGCGCAAACTTTACCTTTTTCGCGCTATGTTTAGGATATCACCATCGTTAAAACCATGAAATCACCCCCGGCCGGCGTTCGGCTTGTGATGGAGGCCGTATGTGTCCTGAAGGGCATCAAGCCGGACAAAGTCAATGATCCCAGTGGTTCTGGTCGCAAGATTGAAGATTACTGGGGCCCCTCAAAGAAACTGCTCGGTGACATGAAGTTTCTGGAACACCTGAAGAACTTCGACAAGGATAACATACCCGCCAACATTATAAAGGTCATCAGCGAGAAGTACATCCCCAATCCGGAGTTCAAGCCCGAACGTATCGCCGTGGCGTCCACGGCCGCTGAGGGTCTTTGCAAGTGGGTCATTGCCATCGAGTCCTACGACAAGGTCGCAAAAGTTGTCGCCCCCAAAAAGGTGGCCCTCGCAAAGGCCATGGAAGACTACAACGTTGCCATGGAAGCACTGAATAAGAAGCGAGCTGCCCTGAAGGTGGTGCAAGACAGGCTGCAGAAGCTGACCGACGACTTGAATGCTAACAAACAGAAAAAAATTGACCTGGAGAACAAGGTAGACCTGTGCAAGAAGAAGCTCGAACGAGCTGAACAGCTGATTGGTGGTCTGGGCGGTGAGAAACAGCGATGGATCAATGCAGCCAAGATGCTGGGTCAGCGGTACATTAACCTGACGGGGGATGTTCTCGTGTCCAGCGGTGTCGTCGCCTACCTCGGGGCCTTCACCTCTACCTTCCGGCAGGACCAGACGAAGGAATGGCTCTCCATGGTGCAGCAGTCGGTCATTCCGTGTTCGGACGTTTTCAGTCTAGTGGAGACACTG